ATTGGTCGGTTTTACCTGCGTAACCCGTATATATATACAGGTGCCGGTTTAATGATCGCCGATCGGTCAGTTCAATTCTAACATTCGATCTTGTAAGAAGTCAAAAGCAACCATGCCACTTGAATTTGTTTTAAGCCAGAAGGGCAACCAACAGTTGGTCAATAAAGGTTTTGTGTATACCACGGATAAAATCAAAGAAGACAAACACATTTGGAAATGTGTTCATTATAATAGACACAARTGTCTAGTGGCGAGTATGGACAGCTGAAAGCTGAAGACATTGTCATTTATTAAAATGACAAGCATAACCATGTCCCAGATGTGGCTGAAATCCGAGTCAAGGAAGTAATGGCCTCAATTAAACAAAAARCTGAAACGGACAACGGTGATGGATACATCACAGCAAATTTTAGCCTCTGTTGACTGTTACGTCGAGTCTCCCAGCGGTAGTAGCTGGAATTCTCTCACCAATCGCCGGGATAAAACAAAATATCCTTAAAGCAAGACAAAAGGCAGCGGGAGCTATGTCTTGCCTCTTGCCCCACTATATAACATGCGTGATTTACCGATTCCCGTCATTCCCGACAAATACACTTATACGGTGGCTGGAGATAAATTTCTTCAATTCGACAGCGGTGCTTCAGATAATATAATTATTATCTTTAGTACGCAAAAGAACTTGGATTTGATGGCGACATGTGACCATTGGTATGCTAGTGATACATTTAAAACGTCACCGCCATTGTTTAAGCAAGTTTTTACAATACACGCGAATAAGTATAATAACGTTCTGCCAACGGTTTACGCACGGCTGTTGCCGGATAAATGTCAAGATACGTATTCGCGTGTATTGGATCAACTGAAGCTGATTAACCAGGGCTGTCTCCAGCAGGCACGTAACCAGGATTTTATTTGGAGGGAGGGGGGGGGGTCGAAATAAATTTTAACAAAATTTTTATGCATGATTGATATTCAAAACCTTTTATTTTTTTTTATAAACTGAAAGATTAAAACTTTTATAATACTTACACAGTTACACTCAATGCTCATGTAACAATTGTAAGATTAATATCTCATGAAACTATGAAAGAYATTGCTGTCTCTGCTATTATATACCTTTCAAATTTAATGATTCATTAACATGTTTCAAACACAATATCTTCCATAAAAATACGTTTCATTTTCATAAATAAATTCAAGCGTTAAGGTTTTTAATATTAATCTTAATAATTATCAATTAYAATCGGCGCAAGCGCATAATGCTCGAGAGTCGAAAATCGTAGTCAGTGATCAGTAATCAAGGTTCTTCATGATTCGTTACATTAATATAATTATGTATTTAAAATATTTTTCAATGTTACATCAGTAATGATATGTAATAATTGTAATATGTTTGTCATGGGCAATAGATATTCAGATAGTGGGCACAAGAACACAACGCCAAAGCTAGCAACATAACAAGGGTGCGAGAAATGTGAGGAATA